TTATGGCGGGTGTCTGAAAAAAATGACAGGCGCATAAGAGAAGACTGGTAATCGACTGAAAGGCAACAATTAAAACTTTAAAAAAATTGCTAACAATATTTGAGGAAATGTTTAAGAGTTAAAACCATGGAAGACTTTATGAACTGGTAACTTATATCGTGTAATGATCCTGTAATTGCTAGAGCTCGAAAAACGAATTTAAGGAACTGTTATCATACACACTAAATTTGTTTGCAGTTTGGTATAACGCCTCCAACTGATTTAGAAGTTTCAGATTCTGATAGTGAATAGTGAGTTGATACCTGCTTTTGTATATTTATTCAGTTATAAATAAAATTCTATGAAACTTTTCTTTCAAGAAATAATCTAAAAACTAGATATTTTCAAATATTTATACTAAGTTAGTTTCATTTAGTACAAGAACGCCCTTACGTACGGTGATATCCAATTTACTTTAAAAGTGGGAACGTATTCGTTAACCCTAGCCCCTAAAACCCCAGTTTACAAACTTTCACGCAAAATAAACCATTTCCAGACTTTTGGCCAGGTTTTTGGTTTTTCTCCCATAGTGATACAGCAGGGCACCGCCCCAGCCGGGACAAGCTCTAAGCTTCCGACCGGTTTCGCGGCATGTGTGGTAGTGTAGCGAATGTGAGTGTAAGTATGTGTAAGTAAGGGGTGAATATATGATAAGGAAGAGGAAGGAAAATTCGTGCGCGGTCCGCGGCCAGATACTGCTCCGGCATTCGCCTGGTGTTGATAGGAAAAGCTACGGAAAACTACCGATCAAAGCAGCCGGCCGCAAGAAGTCTCCTCAAGACAGCGACTGAATTCGACCTAGCTGACAAGCTAGTGTTGAAAATCCTGCCACTGTCGGATCTGAAACCAAGGTCCTTATTCAATAACATCAGTTGATGCCCTTAGATACCTCTCCCTGTCTGAAATTTCGAATACTATAAATTAAAAATAACGCGAGAAAGTAAGTGCAGATGTAGCACAACTAGTTTAATTTCGTTGTTTCAAAAATAAAACACCGAAATAAATAATGGAATTTTAATAAAAATTGGGAAACTCATTGATTTAACTGTAAGTTATATATTGTAACGGAATTTTTATTATTAAGAAAGAAATTGAAACATACTAGCTGGAGTCGTACGGACATTCCGCTCTTTGTAAACCATTGTTTTAAAAGTGAAAATACCTTCATAGTGGATCACGATCAGGTCGGAGTCTGAAGTACGTATTGACGTACGTTCGTCACACATTCATTACAGATTCCCACATGTTCTCCGAAATATTTCTACATGTCCTTCCAAATGTTCCCGACATGTTTTCCCTGATGTTTCCTCAAATCTTCTCCTAAATGTTCTCCCTAATGGTTCCTGCAAGCACGCCGATTATCTCAACTCCCGCACCTCCGAAATAATCTCCCATGTGATCTCGGAAAGCCGCATCCACTCCCCCATCTGGCGACTGCGCTACAGCAGAATGTTGGTCAATAATTTGGAAAATGACAAAGCAGCCCCAGTCGCGAATAGGAGGAGGATGTTCCTTGAAGATCAAGGGCGGCGGAAGCGACCGCACTGGTCACAGACCTTCAAGCGGTCGTCGTCAACACCTCGGTCAGCGTAGCATACCTGGGGCGCCCCAGCAAGCACTGCGATAGGGCAGCCAAATACGAACAAATTCGCTCCTTCTTCTCAGTGAGGAACTTCCGGGAGATCAACTTCCTCCCTACAGTGGTGCGAGGCGAGCTCCGCAAGTCTTCTTCTGGGAACAAGACGCCTGCGCTATCAGAGCGCCCTGTCGGCGAGGCTCTTGTTATTTATTATTTACTTGGCTGTCCGGGTGACGCCGCGTCCATGGCGAAGGAGCCGACGTTTCGGTCGCCATTCTGCGACCTTCGTCAGGGCGTGATGCATTGCCAAGAAAATACTGACTCCGGCAGCGGAAGCCCACGCTCTCAAGAGGCTCTTGTTGCATGCTGTTTCCGCCTGGATGACCTCGTCCCCGACGAATGCAAGCGGGCGTAAACACCCGGACAATAGCCCTGTGGGGGGGCTCGGTGGGGAAGGAGGGGATGAGGTGGCCCTTGCAGCCTGGTTGAAGCGAGGCGGACGCAGGCGCTGTGTGAAGCAGTGTAAATACGTGAATTGTGATGGTTTATTACGGACCTATTTTGGGACCATCACCAAAATTACAAAATGACAATAGTAAATAATAAATTTGGAACACTTATTGTGTGAAAAAACAAAGAATTTTCGACATAGGTGAAGTGACAGCGATTAGGAGAGAATAAATAAAAAAGGCCAAAGTAGGAGGCGGCAAGTATTAGAACAAGTTGAGTAATTTCCGTACATAGGAAATAAAAATAATAAACAAATATACAGATTATCAAGAAAAACAAGCTAGTAAGTGCAGCGAGTGGACAGCTAGCACGTTGTTGGGAGATATTTTTTTAATTTTCAGATCAGTAAGTTATTTTGCGGGAGGTAACACTTAAAGAATGGAGAAAGTAAACTAGAACAGTAAGTAATGTTTGGAGCGAATTGGCAGAATCAATTTTGAAATTTCGGAAACATTTTTTGAATTAGAACTGGGATAAATGCCATGCAAGTCGTCGCACATGCCATGAAAATGGAATGGAATTATAGCAGCAAAGTCGATGATCAAGCATGGTGTGATCGTCGAAAAAGAAGTGAATAGACAATAATTACGTCAAATAAGGGAAGATGACGTCATGTTCCAATTAACTTTCAACATTAAAATTATAGGAGAGAATCAGAAGGTAGATCGGAACATTACCGTATAGAATATAGTAATGCATAATCCATTAGGTAGTGTATGAAAGGATAAAGATGTATCTTTGAGTGAATGAATTGTCAATTATTTGGATGAGGGTAAATTGTTATATGTGTACTCGCGATTTGTTATGTTTTTGTTTGTTTATCAGTAGAGTTAGCGGTGGAGCTACGATAATGCGGTATATGGACTGTTGTTTGTTTCATGGAATATAATGGAATAACATACGAAATTGTAATCACAAAAAGGGGAAATTATAAATATTTCGGAACAATCTAAAGTGGTTATTTTAAAGTAGATCAGTTCAATTAAATATCCTACGTAAAACTATGCTCTTCGATTCAAAACACTCTTTATTATCGCGTCTGGTAGTCGCGATTAATTACGAGTATGTTTTAGTGTTCTTAGGAGGTCGTAATGAATGTTTTGAAAACAAGTCACGTGCACCCTCATATTTCCTACTGCGCATCAGTCTCTGAAAGAGATTGCTTTAGCCCCTTACCTTATCACAAGTATACAAGTACACAACTGCGGTGGCAGATTATGAGTTAGTCTGTCATGTGGAACTGTATCCGCAGCGCGTGAAGTTCATGTGTGGATTGGAAGAAAAATTGCGAGACATTGAGTTAGCAGTTTGCCAATACTTTAAAAGAGTTGTTAATGCATTTCTCGGGACAAAAAGAAGACAATTATAAAACATAGATCACAGAATGGTTAGAAAGAATATGAGGCGTAGAATGTCTCAGAAAATTCATTTTCTCTACTTCCATTTTCTGTTTTCCCGAAGAAACTGGGTGATATTAGTGATAAACATAGTGAATAGCTTCATCAAGATATTGCTTCAATGGAGAAGAGATACAAAGGATTTACGGATCCTGCTATAATGGGACATAATTGCCCTTTCTTGTCAGACAAAGTAAACAGGAATACAAGAGTAAGTGACAAGGTGCAAAAGCATTTTTAAGCAATGCAATAAGAATTTATCCTCCCAAGGTGTTTCAATATTATTGGACGAATATGCTTATTCCATTTTTGTTCTTACCTCATATGAATGAAATTGTGTAGTAATATAACGGGAGTGACAATTCGAAAATTAGTATATAATTAAATATTGTTTTTAAAATACTAAATATATTCATATCTTTTGAACCCTGCCTGATAGATTCCTTTTATAACGATTTCCGAAATCAGCGTGATCGCTTTCTTTGAAATAACCTACTTTTATCCTAGAGGTATGAAAAGCAAAATTTGTTTACTAGTGTTATCAGTCGCAAAACCAATGCCCATTGGGAACTCGAGGTGAACCAATGAGGGGGAGGGAGAATTCAACGACATGTAACAGACAGCGTTACCACAAAAAATAGTGAAGGAATAATCAAGAAACTTACAGGCTCTTATTCAAGATTGTCGCAGTGTCCTTGCAAAGTTTGGTAAAGATTAATGCAACACAAATGCCAAAAATAAATAGTTTAAAGAGTATGTTGGTAGACAATACAACAATAATACAGAATCGAAAATTAGTATTGATTGAACTTATTGAACTATACAACATTTCTTATATTGTTAGCAAACTATAGGAAAGTAGGAAAGCAGCAGAACTAAGGGAAATATTTATTCACGAATGTATGAGCTAGAGTGTTTAAAGCTAAATTTTTGAACACAGTTACTATTGCAATAAATCATGTTGAAAGCTCTTCAGATAAATAGGTTAAACGTTGATAACTTATTGTAACTGTATTGTGCTAATAGCACACTGCAACAAGAATGTCTGTTTTACATATGAATGAGTACTATGTTTCTTGAAATTTAAAGAAAATGGCATTTAAAAATATGGCTATCATATTAGAAGTGTGTCAATTTTATGTAATCGTTATGAGTTACATGAGGAAGTTTGTTATTTTCTGATACCACAAATTTTCAGATAGGCAAGAGGCTAGAAAAAAATTGCGGAACCCACTAAACAGGGAAATATTTTTGCCGGTATCGTCAACAGTTAGAAGCGACAAATATCAGAAGATATCATTAAAATTTGCGTAGCATAACGACTCTTTGCACATTAAACCCGCGAATAAAATTTCAACGTGGCTCGTGCTTAACACAAACGTACGGCTACATTAGGCACGCGCCACTCATCACACAAAGAAGCAGCGAAGCATGGCGGGAACATGCATTGGGCGGTGTTCGGTGTGACCCCAACAGTCCCACACAAACTCACTAATGACCACGCGCCCTTATAAAACCTTAGTGGACGGGTTGGTGGTCACAAGTGCGTCAGACGTGACTTCAACCATGGGTGCCAACGATCACTGGAAATGCAGAACTCTGTGCGTTTTAATGGTGGTGTTTCTAATGCGTACCGTTAGAGCCGTGAGTAAAAACAGCTAGGGTGCTACAAAAACACGAACTTTCTTGCATTGTTTGTAAAAATTTTGAAAAATTAAAAGATTACATCCTGTTATTCAGTACATTTAGCTCTATTCATTCAAAGAGTTTAAAGAAAACATTTGGAACCTTTTTGAGAAAATCTTGTTTTTAAAATTGCCCACATATCACGCAAAACTACTCATGCTTTGAACGCAATTACTGTACACGAACTTTAGCAATTACTTTAAAGATCTATTCATAAATAACTGATTTCATTAAAAACACAATATCTATCTCCAACATTGTCGTTGTAGGAAGACGCCCAAAGAAATAAACTTTGGAATTTTTCAAACATTTAGAGAATTTAGTAGAAAAATAACCTATATACATTCCTCTGAGAGAGAAAAATAAAGTAAAAAAATTGGTCTATTTTCAGACAATTTTAAAAATATCCTTGAGCCTTCATGATAATATCATTAAAAATGGAAATCTTCGTTTCAAATTGGGGGACCATGGCATCAGAGAGATCAATAGGAGAATATCAACTTAGGTGAAAATCCTATGCACAGTTTAGCCGCTAGTGTTATTCACAGACAGGCGTACGCACGGACAGACGTTTTGGCGAAACAAATGTTTCGGTATGAAGGACTCACAAAACATGGATTATGACTACACAATATATTAGAGGCAGAAATTCACTGCGTGTAGGAACAAGAATTATCTAATTTTTGGGTATCAGACATACACGTATACGTCTTTTGCTGCTACAAAAGTCAACATGATTATAACATAATGTTTATTATATATTGTAACACCACTCGTTACTGTATCGCATATTACTTATGTAGTATAGAGAACGTCGTATTATAAAATTTCTCTATACTACATAAGTATTACGCGAGACAGTAAGTAGTGGGTGGCACAGACGTTTCCGCATTACTTAGTTTCCTAATGTCTTGTGTCTGGGCTATAGTTTCGGCTTTGCACGATCCTCTTTCCAGTAGCTACCGATGGCTAGGACACTTATCAGAGCCTCTTATGGCACGTAGAGCTCCTAGGGGACAGTAAATTAATTTTTAGTAAAAAATAACCTCCTCGCTTTGCATAAGCCTATCACGATCCTGTACTTTAACGTATTTAGCCAGGTAACCATTGTCCCCATCTTGGCATTTGTACCACTGTTCTCGGTGTAGGAAACCAATTCTGTCAATTACACACTCGGAGTGAAGACAGTTGCCTGTCAGGCCAAGAGACCACTGCAGAGTTGTAATACAGGAGGGACTTGAGGTGCCAAGAACATAAATGAAAACATTCTAGCCTTGGGCGTGTTTCGAACCCACAGCCTTAGTGACATTTTTGGGCTCTCCTTCTCCCGACGCCCCTGCTCCCACGAGGCCTTGACTCACATGATAGTACAACTTATAAACGAGTTACGATCATGTTACAATGATTTGATGAAACTAATATTTTAATATTACCAAAATTTACAGCAGTGGTGCAGATCAGATTTTCATAGAACTCTGAATTTTCTAAAATTGCAAACGTTCAACATTTTTTCAACGTAGATCTTTAAATAAGGTCATGGAAAATTTTTGAATAAACTAATAGTTTTCTCGTAAAGGTAATTTATAATTTTTTTCTAAAAATTAGCACCAAATTTTCTTCTTTTATTTTTCACTCGGGTAGAGCAAAGGTCGCTTATAATATGGTGCAATTGTAACATATCTAATTTCCATTGAGATCTCTGAGTTTCCGTGAATTGGAAATGGCACAAATTATGCGAGAACGTATGTGCTCTTGTAGAATCACTAGTTTTCATCTGAAATTACTCTCTGTGTATTACAACATTATGCTCTATTACAATACTCTGGTTATTATTTCAGAAAGATATAATCAAATTCAAGGAACTTGAACCGATGGATTCTAATGCATTGATTGTGGAGCTGACAGACGTCAATGCTAAAGCAAATGAGAAGGGTCTCCTTGAAACCAACGTCACCGCCGAACTGAAAAGAGATCTTCCGGAAGATGCCGTTGTGTGCGTGGATGGCTACGAAATGGGCGCAAACGGCTACGGTAAAAGCACGCTCAACCTGCCTTGCACAAACCTTTGCGAGCTGATCAAGAACGACGACTGCATTTACCCGAACGTACAAAAGGCGTCTGTGGGAACTTTACCTGAAAGTGGTTGTCCAATTTCACAGGTATGACATCACGAGCTTGAAATTGAATCGCAATAATATGATCATAAGCATGTACAAGTCTTGGGGTATCTCATTTTCAACAAATGGATTGAAAATCGTACGATTTTTAAAACCAATTATTTGAATAACCAATAAAACGTAAATAGTCAATAACTTTTCTTAATTAAATAGAAAAGCTGAAAAGAGTCTTAAATAAACGGAAACATATTAAACAGAGAGGGAAATAGAAAGGTAATTCATCCATTACCATTTTATCAATGAAAAGAAGATGGTCTAAATGAAATTAGAATATAATTAACTAGTTATTTACTAATGAGTTTTGCACAATTCGTTGGATTCTACGTGTTAATCATATCCACTGTTTTTTATTTGTAAAATTCCAACAGAAGTTCAAAATTGATGATTGTACCACTTCACCCCGGAAATTTTGAGTCCTAAATGTTTATCTCTTCGAGTTTTGCGTGGTGACGTGCTCATATAATCACGTACTTTTCGTAGTAAAAACATTATTCTCAGTACTAATATACCACGTTTTACATTTTAAAAATTGTGAAAATTGGGAGAAAATGACCATTTAGCCCCGATCTCCCGCTACATAATACTTGCGTACCTGCTATATCTCCAAATTCAAGCTTCTGCAGAAAGAGAAAATGCAAGGAGCCCCATATGCAGGACCTTTATGCGATTCCTTTTCTCTACAATAATAGCCTGCGAGGTAAAAGTTTGGAATTTGTAAAGTGCTAAGTTCATTATGAAATTACCAATGTTCTGTAAAGCAGAGAACATCCATTTGATTTAAATCGCTCGATAGAGCTGCTTCGATAAACTCTGTTTTATTTGAAAAGGATTGAACATTATGGTGCAGTATGTGTATCTTTTGCGAGTACCTACACGGATGATTTTCTACTGCATCTGACTGTAGTTGCTATATATTTACTCCATTTCGAGTGCGTGGTCGAAAGTTGTAATGTGTCCCGGTAGTGACAGGTTGTGAGGGAATTGGGGCATCAGGTGTAGGTGAATTGGTTGTGAGAATGGGAGAAAAGGGAATAGAATCAGAGGAGGAGGTAAAGGGGGATCGAAATAAGGGTGGGAGTGGAGAACGTTAGGAAGGTAAAAAGAATCGATTTTTGGCAGGAGGCTGCATAGGACTGAAGTTGATGAGGTGATGTGCAAACTTGTTGCCGACTGCATGTTTTCAAGAAAGGCTCATGTGTAGACCATTCCGGGTGAAGTGTTTTGCTGAGAGGAAATTAATTTAAAAAGTGTAACATTTGTTTCTCCAAGATGCAGTTGTTGGTTTGCGTGCTTAATCTCGCTGCATAGTGTTTGTCTGTTGTACCAGAAGGGCAGAGTCGAGAGTACAATGTTAGTATTTTGGGCGGCACATTGTAATTTGTTTACAAATTGTTCAGGCTCAAAGTTAGTGTTTTCGAGTAGATGTTCAACGGTCTTGCAAAATAAATATTAACTTTAAAAAAGTGAAAGAAATATTTTTTTCTAAATTGCACTTTTTGACTGAGAATAATGAATGTTTTATCATTTGCAGGGCATCAAGGAAATTAAACAGCATCTTTTGGATATTCCGTGCTTGCCAGATAAAATCCAACGTGTTTCTGATGACTGGAAATTTGACGTACAAGTAAAGAGCAAAGATGAATCAGAAGTATATTATCACGTAGAAGTAAAGGTGGATATTGTTTCTTAAGAACATTGTAATGACATACTTGTACAGTTTCCGAATTACAAATAAAAGTGAATAAAAATGATCATGTGAAACCGTATTTTTAAGTTCAAAATTTATAGTTTTGTTGCACATTTTTATCTTTTAAGTAAGTATTCAATCACTGACGGCTAGTGCCCCAACAAATAGATTGCAGTGCCATCTAATGACGGAAATGTAATTTACAAAATTCAGAACAGTAAAGTATAATAATACGTAAGAAAATCAGGTAAATTAAGTTTAATAAAATACTACATTCAAACATTACTTTCATGATTTTATACTAGTGTCCGTATTAGGTTTGTTCTCTTCCTTCTCACATGATTATGGCTTTGATTTCTAGTGAACTCTGGAGTTTTTGTATTAGTTCTTCATCGAGACAATGTCCAGCAATGAAATTTATACAGAACAAACACGAACTAGATTTTGATAATAAGGTGATCGTTCCAGCACTTTCAAAATAAGTACTATTGTTTAGACACGTTTTACACTATCTGATTTCATGATCTTGTTATTACTGCTAGGAGGGGTGATGATAACGAAATAAAATTATTTTATATCGAAAATTTCACCACTCTGGTATATCTTTCAATAATGAAGGTTCTTACATTACACAGAACTCTAAATTTTGAATCAACAAACATCAAATGAAAACGGACTCCGCGAACATAATAAATAATACTTCCAATTCCGTCAATAATTGACTGACTTTGTGTACTTTCAATAGCACACAAAATTTAGTTCCAGTCATTATTTGAATACAGTTATAAAATATTTCTGCCTACCAGACAGATAGTGGCTGACAAAGGAGAGGGGGTTCCGTTATGCAGACAGTGGTTTCAAATTATTATATCACATCACAGAGTTACCGATGCTTATTAAGACATTTTTTTACAACGCGAAGAAGTGGAAAATTGAAGAGTGTCATTACTTACCCAACGAACCCAAGTACGTTTGGAGTGTGCGATTCTGTGTCGTCCACTTAGAGCCCTGAGTATTCAGGCGCCCACAGTAAACATAGAATTTGCACCCCTGCGGGATACTTTAAATTATGGTAGTTGTTATTTATTTATTTTGGTGGGTACTCTCTAAATAGTGTCCCTTGTGAGTGGCGCCTACATGTGCCTCTGCGTTCACTGTTGTGCGCTGTCATTGCGGTTTGTTTCTTGCTACTGCTGCTGCTGCTGTTGTGATCTGATGCGAAAACTACCACGTGTTTGCCACCCGAGTATGTGGCCACATCGGTCTACATGCTTATTATTCGGACAGTAGTTTCAGACGAAGACAGAAAATTGGTATTCCAGTCGGACGCCGCGTTGCCGCCTTCGCTCTGCCAAGTCCCTCTGTATATAGAGTGGGACTTGGCTCTGCGGTGGAAACTGGTGGCTCGTGAGAAAACATCAGGGACCCTTGTTGAAACATAGGGATGCGCGGCCAAATTCTTGAAAGGCGCGCAATTTAACATAACATTATTTTTAGAATTGAATTGTAGTTGAATGAACATATTTCATTCAGAAAAAAATGTTTATCTTCATAATTGCAGTAGTAGGAAGACGCCGAAAAAAATAGAATTTTAGCAATTTAAAAAAATAATTTTTAACGAAAATGAGACCTGCACCACTTTATTAAACGTATACTTTACCCTGCCAACAACAGTTTAATAAAATATGATGGAGCAATTTTTTTGAAATTTTTGAGAATATGCAAGGGGCTTCATGTAAAGTACCCACAAAATTAAAATATCGGTTTAAAATTCAAGGGGCTGCTACATCAGCCAGATCGATTGGGGAATAACAATTTTAGAGAAAATCGTCTGAACGGTTTAGCCACTAGCGTTGTTCACAGAGACGGATAGATAGACGTTTTGCCGTCAATCGATTTTTTGGTATCAAGGACCCACAAAACATAGATTCTGGCTACATCACATGTTAAAGAATTTTCTTCTAAATTTATCAAATTTTTCGTTACCAGATTTCGAGAGTTTTTCTGCCGATAATTCGCCGTTTCTTTGAGCAGCATTGCATAATTTTCTCTCTGATGCGAAGGCGGTAGCGAGAAAGTAAAAAAAAAAAATAGTTGAATGTGTTAAAGAACAGTAAAATATGATGCTCGACGATGCGAACTCTGTATTTTTGAAAATGTCGAAATCTTGACCTTACTAATTTACAATACATTTGTTTTAAATTAATTCTGTTCTACAAGTCACATCTTTAATAATGATCATGTACAAATATTTGAAAAACAAAGCAACAAAAAATAGTAGTTTTTGCATAATTTAGGCTTGAAGTTAATGCAATTTTCATAGCCAACTTTTCTTATAAAACATTTCAAGTTTTTTCTTTATTTTTTCTGTGAGTAGAACAAGCGCCACGTAAAAGGTTGCCATAGGTATTATTTTCATTGAACTATAAACTTTTGAAAATTGCAAAAATTAAAAATAAAGGGAGAAAGAATGTGCTTTGTAGCACTAGTGGTTCTCTTTTCCACAATTTAGTCTAAGAACTTTATGAAAAGCCCTTGGTACTGATTCTTTTGGGAATAAAAATTACCCCGAAACCCAGGAGGAAGTATCTGCTTTTGGATACTGGGCTTTTAATTCCTTTTCATAGGAACACATAATAGACAGGGGTGGATCTAGGGACAAATTTTGGGAAGGGAAATTAAAAATTTTTTAGCTGAATGTTGAATGTTGAATGACATCTTACAGATTTTGTAAAATGTCGCAGGCTACACTCAGCTCATGCTGTGCTATGATTTTATTTGTTTTAATGATTATCCAAAAATATTTTTGCTTGAAAGTTTTGTGACAAGTTAAAATTGATAGTTACTGAAAATTTTTAAGGGGGGAAATTTCCCTCATTTTCCTCCCCAAGGATCTGCACCTGCAATGGGTATATACTAGGCTATTCATTATAAGTTTTGAATAAACATGTATTATACTCATTACAACGTGAAAAATATATATTATTTTTAATCAACATTTACAGTAAGAAAATAACAACAAATTATTACATAAATATTGCATTTTTATTTGCACTTTAAAATTAACAATTAAGTTACATTAACGGTTTCATCCTATAACTAACAAAAGAGTTTTCTTTCAACATAAATAACTTTACATAAGATATATTGTAGTTTTATTTTTCTTCAGTTAATGTTTTGATATTGTGACTTGTTGTGGGGTCCCCATGCAAGTCCTGTTTTTAAAATTATTATTGTTATTCTTTTATGTATCTTCTCATTTGTGTCATGACTGAAATACATGTTTGCTTTTTTGTGTTTGTTCACATTAATATCATCTTTGCCCTCAGAAATGGTGGTGTCATTATTAGGGTGACATATTCTCCTACATACAGGTAGACATATATTCATATACCATTTGCGAGAAATGGAAGATATAGTCTAAAGCTCAGTATCGTGGATATATTATTAAATACTTCCATATGACTCACTTCTCAATTCAATTCTTGCCAAACAATGATTTAGAACCACTAATGTAATGTGTGTGGGCATATGGAAGTAATCTCACAGCAATTGGAAGGTATCTGATGGATTCAATGGGCAAAACTTTTAAGTTCACCAGACGTTTATAACTCATTCTTTTTTTGGTCATTTATAACTGATTCACTAAACATCAAGTTTTCTTATTCAAAAATACACATGAACACTCCACGTATTCTTTCAAAACAAAACCTCCTCCTTTTGAGATATACGATTGATAATCTGATAATCATTCTCATTCAAACATTGTCTGCAATTTTTGGATAAACACATAGTCTTTCGCACCCATACAAGAAAATGAACTGGCAAATACACACACATACACACACACTCACACACACATTAGGATAACTAAAACATTTGTGCTATTTTTCACATACATCAACATATTCATTGAAACATTTTCACAAAACAGATCAAATTTATATTATTCTTACATTCAGTTATTTCATTCATTAAGCAAAGATAATGTGATTCAAATAATTATTTATGTTCTGTTCATGTTTGTTTACATTAGACTAGTAAATTAAAATACAAATTTTTAAAGTAACAAAAAGAAATTCAGTAGTAGGTTATCAATTTCAGGAAATGGAGGAAAATGATATTAAACATTCTGAAAGTTTGTGCTATATCTATTCAATTGTGCGTTTATATTATGGTTACGAGTCCCTGTAAAATACAATACAACCAATGACTGCACAGTGCCTTTTGTCAGTAATCAGAGAAGATACTCTTGGTCTCTCTCTTCAATAATGTAACGATTGTGCTCAGATGAATACAATCATGTTTTGGAAATATTGTCAAAGTATCATGTTAATTTACAATCACTAACAGTTTGTTCAGTTTTTATGGATACAAGTCTTAATGAAGGTTTTTGGTGCCTATGGTATGGTATCCATTATTTGATATGAAGTATTTTATATTGTGTTCTTCTTTCCTCAAAGCTGATTCTTGATCAAAATTTCATTTGTATTCAAAATGGTATTTTTCCTAAGCAATAGTTTATTTCATTTCTGGTGGTGATAGAAGAAAGTTAGTTCCCCAGGTTATAATATTATGATACAGATTAACTTTATAATTTTATACTCAATTATTCTTCAATCATTTCTAGCAATTTGCCATATGAAAATCATATTTCTTTTAAAATATCTATTTTTTAATACATATTATGAAGTTGTAACATAATTTACACAAATGTTTCAAATTATAATAAGAAAGAAGTATGCATTGTTCACAATGCTTCCATATTTTAATTGTTACAGTTTTTGAGGGCAATGTTCTTTTTAAATTTTGTATTTTCATATCTGTTAAGTCATATTAAATAATAATTTCAGATAATTCATTTTGCCAGGTCAGGAAACATTAAAATATCATTTGCTGTTTATGAAATTATGTGTTTTTTCCTTTAAGGATTTATAAGACAGAAAGGTTAATGAATTTTGTAAATAATTTCTATAAAATAGATTTGTCAATGAGTAGTTTAGGCATTAAACATTTTGTTATTAACAGATTTTGGAAATTGTTTTTAAAATTAATTAACTAATTGTGAGAAGTAAAGTCCTCATATGTTTTGATCATCAATCAATATTAATAATTTAAAGTAATTGTAATAAGTTTGTTTACACAACTGCTTAACAAACATTTCAGATTTACAATTCTTACCATCACCACCAAGATACAGAGATAGTCTGGGATACATTCAGGCTTTTTCTATGGATAGAATGTGATATTCAATGATTGTTCAATTATTTCAACATTTTTTTTCTATTTGATCAGTCATGCTGTATTTAAGAAATGTTTTAATTTCATTCTTTTACAGGTTAATGAATCTGTTCACTACCGATTTCTAATGAAGATCAAGCAATGACAGAATTTTGATCTATTGGAATTGATCGTTCACTTTTCTTGTAGGTGTGATTGCCAGGAATTCATTTACATTCCATTTGTGATTTATCGTGCTTTTATGAAAGTGATATATTTTGAACAGTTAACTTCTTGATGAAATGTTACAACTAAATGCAATTATTTCTTTGATTAAGATATGAGTCTGTGTTTAGATGCCTAGTGCTGGTATAGAATATTGAGCTTTTGTGATATTGCAACAAACATGGTTCCAATTTTATGAGTAACAATTCATTTTCAATTAATATGCAAATATACAAACAATGACCCTGGTAGAGCACATTACAGTATTATTTAGGGATACATTTGTCACCTGAAGATCAGAAACACTGACACAGTATGTTCACAGTTTCACGACTTCTTTAGCAAATATTTTACAACTGCAAGAAAATTTTGTTACCACTACACAAATTTATTGATTTTCCCAATATTTAATTTTTCTGTAAACAGATGTGACTAACAATTTTGTTTAATTCCAGTTTTGAAGTAGAATATAGTATCCAGAAGAATAATTTTTTTGACTTTCTGAGCACATGAATGTACTAAGAAAGCAATTGAGCTTTCATCTTTGAGCTGCGTCTCTTCATATAGTCATGATAATTGAATCATCATGAGATATGAGGAAGCTGGTCACAACAAAATTTTCACAATTAACCATTATATTAAAGTATTTCTGATCCACAATTACAAAGAACTATTTTTATACCTGAGGAATTCATATGCATAACTAGTCTTCATTTAAAACAAAAGAATATAGGTCACAGTAAGAGAGAGACAAAGAGGGCAGAAGAATTTCAGGATGGTCATGATAAAAGAGCATTATTTGCTTTCAGTACATGAATTCAACGACTAAAAAAGAAAGAACAGTGGTGTTGCTAGGGCTGATGTCACTAGGGGTGAAAACCTTGTTGTACCACCCTCCTCAACAATATCAGCTGATTCGCAAAATGACTTTATGTTTGTAGAAAATGTTTAAAAAATGTGTGATTTTTTTACAGAACCTACATTAAATGACAAATCTTTCAATTTTTCAAATAGTACATACATTTATTAGAAATTCTTTCGTGTTCAGTGAGTGAAGTAATAGATCCAATTTGATTTTTTGACTTTTTCTCTGCTCCGAGTAAAATTTAACACTTGGTATGATTGCTTTTACTGATATCCCCTAGAGTAAGTTACCCCCTAGCAATGCCACTGAGGAAGACAAAGATAAGTGTAGCTGCTGTTGAGACTAGTTGCCGTTGTCAAAAGAGATCAGTACACATGATACTCAAATAATGTCTCACAAGAAATACACCTAAAGCACAAGTGTGTCAAGTTGAAGGATAAAGCTTTCAGTCAATTGGATAAATGTATAAAAATTCCTGATTATTGCATATTGGATCTCTTGATACTGATGTTTTTGATGAATTTTAGAGCATAATTATCTTTCTGTGTTTTATAGCAGAGATGATGGCCACAAGGATACAATTGTCCTCAAAAGACAATTTATGACATTTGACCTGATGCAGAAAATGCAATTATAAAAATTTTTCTTGACTTTTGATTGAATTAAATTATTGCTCCACTTAGTTTTTAAGCATCCAGAATGGCAATATAAAAACTATTTCTTTCTGCTAAATCCTTCAACTTCAAATTTGATATAACACAACACTAGCAATGTTCTAATTTTTTGCACATTATTCGTTGAGCACCAATAACAAAGATGCATCCACTCTGGTGGGCAAGGAAGGGCACAAACAATGCCTAGTGTAACTAGAAAAAATAATTCACAAAGCAACATTTTCAGTTAGGTATTGGGATGAAAGCTAAGCACACACTGACAAAGCAAAATTTACAATTATTTACTAAATTCCTGTTTCACGAGACAATTACACATCCTTTTTTTATTAGTTGCAATGGAGACCCAGAGAACATGATTCAATCTTGTGTTTCCCAGATTTCAATTTGTTGCATTTTCTCAAACTTTTTGTTTTTTAAAATCACATTGATGCATTGATGAAAATACTACACATTGTGCACTGTTCTTAATTGAATAAATTGTTCATTTGTGTCATATCAAGTGTGAAAATTTACATTTTATTTTTGCGGAGGTAAGTACTGCAAACTGTTTCATGAAACGGAATAACTTATTCTTCATCCACTGACATTAAATGAAGGTTACGACCCTAACGAGAAATTTTGCGAATCAACGTAATGGAAGAGCTGGAAAGTAAGCTCATGCTTTGCAACATATTTTTTACTTTGCATTTCTTCTGGTGATTAGTGAGTGTGTATTTGTTTTCGGGCGCGTCAACTACTATGGTCGTTAGTCCCGTTAGTGTAGTGCATGTGTATTCCGGGAGCTGGCTGTATTCCGACCCCACTGATGAGATTCGGCACAGATTTTACATGTCCGTTAGCGAGGTTCCGTTTCCAGGAACCTCCCTCAACTGGACACCGCTCCAGCAGAGACAAGTTCTAAGCTCTCGACTGGCCTCCCGACATGTGCGATAGTGTAGAGCATGTAAGTGTTAGTGAGATGAGCTGGTGATAATTGTGCAAAGAAACCATGTTGGTGTTGAAACAAAAACGATCCGACCATGCGAGAAAATAGGCGTAGCGCACACATACTGAACGTTGCATTGACTACGACGAGAGCAAGACGGGGACACGACGAACCTCTAGTAGTAGAAGTAAAGTTTGAACAAAGGCAGATTAAGTACACATACAAGGACATGAGGCCGGCGAAGAAATATGAAGAGTTAGCTCAGGCTGCAGTCACAGCGGAACCGATTCAAACCGTGCATTTCGTTTGGTTAAACGCTGGTTATTGTCGTCAAGAAAGCGGTGTAAGATGTTATTACCACATAGAAATTCGAAATTGTCCGAGTATTCCTAGAATTTCTTCGAAATCCTAACAGCATGGCTGTAACCTAATTATTATAATTATTTAGGTGATGATTGTTAGCTACTCAGTGGCAAAACATGTAGAGAACATGAAAATTCTTAATTTCAGGTTGTTTGATTTCTTTTGCTGCATTAACTGCGAACATTTTTTAAATACATGAAGACGATACAATATTTGGTTATTATTTTTGAAATATAATAGTGATAGAAAACTGAGTCATTCAAGAATATAACAAAAACTTTACAAGAAAGGCTAGATAATTTTTAAATACGTTGACATCACACTTATATTTGCTTTGTAAACTGTTGCAATCACATGAAGAGTGCAAAATGCTTCTAGAAGCTTGAATCATTAGGCTAATTTTATGAAGGCAGGAAAGTGTAATATTTTCACAGAACAACAGTTATAAAAAATAATCGAAACACGAACGTGGAAACTAAAGGAAGTAGCGTGCCAGTACGTCGAATCTGCTACTGTTCGAAAAGTTCACTCGGGAATGAACTTCGTCCAGCAACCAGGATCTTCCGATGGCCCGAAGACTGACTGAACTGACCTCTTTGGTTCGGCAGCACTTGTTCGAATGACTCGGACTCATCCGTGTTGATGGTATACGCGATGTCTCCGTTCCTTCGAAACTTCGGGAGTGAACCGACTTCACGCTGACAGCCAATCACGGGGCGGGCCCTCCAGAGTGGAAGCTTCTCGACGCGCGAACTAGAAGAGTGGCGGCAATGGCGAGTAACGGCCGCTGGGCCTGAACTGCAGCTCAGGAGTCGGGCACGGCGGCGCCGCTGGGTCCCTGCGAACAGAAAAGCATTTCAGTTTTGTCAGCTTCAAATCTGAAAGGTTTTCTTATTAATTTTAGAAAGACAGATAAAATACGTCTTAGATTTTTTATTTACTGGAAATATATTCACAGTATGCCAAAATAGATATTTTTATAATATCGTTTCACAAAAAAGTCGTAGATTGAAATGATTCGATTGACATAGATTGAATTGCTCCTACCTGGAGCAATGCAATCTCCCTCCCTGATGTTGTGCGAGAAACTTTGGTCTTTCTACGGCTGAAATGCGTAAGAATGTTTACATCATCTTGATAATCTGCTTCTCAAGACAAACCAGTATGATGTTTGGCAATAATGTGTGTTATTCCATTTTATTGATCATCACTCTTTTATTCTATTTGTAATCTATTGTAGTGTTGAATATTGTAAACATACTGCAGATCATCTATTAGATAGTTAAGCAGGCACCTTTGCAATGTATGACACCATTGCTAAGGTGGTTAGAGCATCTGACTAGACGTCTGTTCCTGATGGGATAACATGTGATGCATTTTGTCACTTCCTACCATTAAGCTTGATGCATAGACTAAGCATGTTCACACATATCTTAGCAACATTTTTTCCCAGACAAACCCTGTCCGACTCTTCTGTTAGACAATAAAGTATGACATTCCATTTTATTCACCATCACCATCATTCTCTTTTTTAGAAACACATTAATACGGAGGTGAAAAAATAAAAACACCTCGTAAAATGCATGCATAAATTGAAATGATTTTTTTAAACTAAATTTGTGTCACGCTTAGTTGCAAGCTTCAGCCATTGTCGCGGGATTGTTTTATGTGTGTGCGAGTGCACCATGACAGAATCACAAATCCTTGCACGGTGTTTGACGCCTGGTTCGCTTATGCGCACTGTTTGTATTTTTCTACAACCACGGTCCAGGGGTCATGACTAGGTACGGTATATTTTTTCTCAAAATGGGACATCTACTAATATTTTAAGAAATAGTACGTGTTTTCAAGAAAACGTAAATTTCTACATAGTTTTTTATTAGCGAAAAGTACAATAACAAAAACAGAAAACAAATTATTTAAATGGACTGGTATTGTACAAGAATCAAATTTGATATTGATTTCAATTAACAATGGGAATCTTAGCAGAATTTATTAAATTTCACTCTCCTAGAAATTATAATTATTTTCATGAGACTGCTTTAAGAGACTGTTTTTTCGATTGCCCCCACTATGTTCGTAAACGAAAATACCCTTCTATGGATGCATTAGCGCCAGAAAGACAAACAATTACTTTAATAATTATTTGAAAGTTGGTATGATTTAAATGATGAATGTCAAAGTTCTCAAACAATTTTAGTCAACGACCTTTGGTCAAAACATTCGGACACTTTTTAAAGTGTAATGTAACTAGATATTTGAATGTTCAGCTACCACCGGATTCCTTTATTTTTCCCACCTTCTTTCTTTTGGAAGTTGTTACAGTAGGCTGCTCTCGGGACACTAAGGCCTTTCTGAGGGGACAACTGGATGATCAACATAGAAGTGGGACGTTGCCACTCCAAATGGAACGTGCGTTTAATATATGTGATATATGCTAAGGTTATGTACAGATCCCTTTGGAATCGCAATGTTGTGAAGTTCACAATATGCCTCTGCAGCTGATGCTGCTTGCGGTTTTGATTATGGTAAAGTACCTTATCATCAGGTAATAATAATTTTCCACCATATTTTGATTTCTTTCATTTAAATATTTTTCGAAATTTTTTAAAACGTATAGAAGAAGTTTCAGAATACATGTTTCAAACTTCTGGGACGGGTAGAGAGTTGAAGGTGATAACATGTTGCCAATGAACATGTACTAGAAAATTTCAGATAGCTTAAGCAAGTGACATGTGCCCCTGATATGTAGGCAACCCATCAAGCAATGCTGTATGGCGGGAACACGAAATTTCTTGGCGTCAGCAAGTGACCTGCCAAACATCAGTGCGTACTGAATTTCCGACAATCAGGGACAAACTGATTTATCGATGATCCCGGGCGCATCAGATGATGCCATTAGTCTCGTAAGTGTAGTGCACTTTTCAGCGAGGGCGGTGATCGAGGCTGCAGTGACATCAGTTGATGCCCTAAGCCCCCTCTGCCGGTCAGGGACAAATGTTACACACAAATTTATTACATGAAATTTTCCATCATTCTGTATATTCATTGGCAAACAATGGCCATTTTTGACACCATATGTGACCTAGAATTTTAAACATATAATCTGAGACATATGTATATCCATAAGAATGAAGTGTGAGATCAAGGCGGCTTGATGAATTTTCAATAAAAATTGGAACACTGACTTATAATCTGAAAGAAATACGGGTACGACACGCATAGTTCCCTCGAGTGAGAAAGATTTACATGTAAAATGAAAAATAAAATGCAATGTGCAATGCTTCTAATGCATGTCTAGAGGCAGTGAGGCTTGGTAAGCAGAGGGCGGATGTCGGTGGGGCCAAAGGTGAGGCAGAGCGAGACAAAATGGGACTCTTTGAAAGATGATTCTGGTAAATAATACCCGGGAATGGGTAACCAGATAATACGTATATCGATAATCGATAATCGAAATCGCGCGATTTTTTGACAAGCACCGACGACGGTGCCTCAGGGCAACAAGTGTTGCCACTGCAATGCCTCTGACCGAGAGGCCTTAGAGCTCCAGGCACGACCCTGGCAGCAGGATTTTCGACATTAGCTAGAGAGCCAGATCGAATTCAGATGTCAGCAGAAGAATTCTAGCTGCCAGTTGTTCTGATCGGTAGTTTTCCGGAACAGATCAACACCGGGCGAATGCCGGACCACCCCCTAAACAAACGGGATGTAGACCGCGCGTGATTTTTCCTTCCTCTTTCTTTCTTGTTCTATCCTTACCCCTTACTTTCACACACACACACACACACACACTCACATATTCCACCACCACACATGCAGGAAGACCAGTAAACAGCTTAGAACTTGTCTTAGCTGATGTCCGTGCAAATTCCTGCATGGCGCTAATTTATGCCCCATTTCTCGCATGCGTCTGTTTACCATCGGCAAAGCACACTGCGCGTAACAAACACGATAAGATTTTACTCATCCGTTGTAAGCTCAAGTGTTGCTCGCGCATTGCTAATCTCTAGAGTACATGCGACTTTAATGCTCTAAGCGCTTCTGTATTGTCACACGAGAAAAAACGACCGACCACCACTTTTAGGTCACGGTCACAGTGCAACCGAAATATCAGTCGTTTGTCGCCAGATGACTACGAGCAGAATCGTCCGACTTATTTCATTCAAAAAACACCCTATAGTTTGTTGCACCCTAAAACGTTAGAATTTTTCTCTAATTCCACAGCTGATTTTTGAAACATTTTCGGGATGCATGCTGAAGAACTTCGAGTATTGCAAATAGCGTATGCATGTAGACGTATTGTAAACGGCGTTGAATCTCCAGCTGATTTCAGGTGAATGTAACCAAACGAAATAGTTCTTCGTCTGTCAGCCGATATTTTCGAACGTCAACGCAACAGATCGTCCAGGTTCACTAAGACCATTTCCGTTCACCAACTAATGTTTGAACGGATCCAGCAAATAGGACGAAAACATCCGTCGTCGGTCCACCGAAATGGCGGCCAGAATCGGCTTCACTGTTACCGTCGCCTGATGAGACGTTTTCGCTGAAAAACTATGTCGCTGGCCTAAAACGACAATAACACCCCATTGAGTGTTAATTAGTACCAATTGATGATAGAGTTATTTAATAACAATTGATATCTGCCTTTAACAATCCAAAATTACGGATGTTAGTGAACAAGCTCCCAGTTCATGCTGTTATATTCCCATTTCTTCCGAAACCATTGTCCCTTCACCTTGACCATTCCTGACTTTAGATTTATCTACCTGCTTTTCTACAGAGTTCAAGTGTGTATTTTCTTGTCAGACGTCAAGGATGATGCTTGCAATTTTTAGCAGCAGATGACGTACAGACCGTTGCAACTCTGATTTCTCGCCTCCTCGGTACAAGGCTACTTTCTCCCAGGTCATCGAGCAGGAGCTAATGAAAAAAAAAAGTTCAAAAGTGTTTATAAATTTGTTTCAGGAACAAAGTAGCACGTCCGCTATAACATTCACTTTTTAATTCCATGCGTCTGATATTGACTTTAAAGAAAACAAGGTAAAGAAAAAATCGTTTGTAAAACTGTCGAGAAAAAATGAAAGATGGAATTGAAAAAACAGAATTTAATTCTGTAAGAGTAATATAAATGCCTAATGACTATAATTAACAGTTAAAAATATTGCATTAATAAAACTGTTTATTTAAATGGATGCCAAATAATTTTTTTATGCATTCGTCCTTCCTTTTAATTTACTTAATTAGATATTTTACTTACTCGTTTTTGGCAGAGGCTTGTCGCACTCGCTTGGCTTTGGAGCTCTCACTATGCAAAAAATAGAATACGAGAATTTCTTAGTGAAAAAATATTTTAAAATGATTAAGGAATATAAATGAATGTTTTTAGTAGTACACCGACGTACGAATGATGCTTACTGTCAATATGACGAACATGTATGTTTTAAACTGTGCATTTCTCTAATTCAGCAATTTTCCAATTATTTTCATGTCATTGACATTTAATGTAAATTACATAGACTAATAAGACAAATCGACACTAATGAAGTAATTGTAATTTTTAAATTCTAAAATATTAAATGTATTTTTTTAAATGGAAAGCAGTAGGAGTAATAGTAGAAATGTAGACGCAGTACTGTGACTTGGTACTGTTTTATTTCGTGTTGGAAACACTTTTGGCTTTTATACAATGAAAATCAATATTTTGAATCAGTAGTATCGCTATAAAATCAACAAGAGTGAGTGAGACTGAGAGAGAGTGTGTGTGTGTGAGAGAGAGAAAGAGAGTGAGAGAGAGTGAGAGAGAGAGAGAGTGAGAGAGAGAGTGAGAGAGAGTGAGAGAGAGTGAGAGAGAGTGAGAGAGTGAGAGAGAGTGAGAGAGTGAGAGAGAGAGAGTGAGAGAGAGAGTGAGAGAGAGAGTGAGAGAGAAAGAGAGAAGGGGACAAATTACATTTAATAAAATGATCCACGAAGTTGTGAAAATTAAATAATTCAAAATAAATAGGATTTTACAAAAAATGCATCACTAATTTCGCACGACTTTTAATGACACCTTTTCCAAAGCAGCTTTCATTTGAAATTTGCATCCATTAATTCATGCGTTCGTTCCTTTCTTTATCGACTCATAATAGGTTAATTTTGGTATCATAATTTTGTAGTTTGTTAACTTTCAGTTAGATGTATTCATGCCTTGGTTTTTTGATTTGTACTCTAGACCTGATGAAGGAATTAAAAAGTTCCGAAACGTTGACAAACTAATTGTTTCATTGTTCATAATTGACCAATACCGAGAACTACTTCCCTTAGCAATAATGACAATACCAATATTAATATTAATAACAATAATTCATAATTTCTATTAGCAAATTACACACCATGTGCGGGGAAACTATCTACTAGCTACAAACAAACAAGGCCCATCTAGCAAAACCTTTTCAATGTATAGGAAATAAACAAAAACCACGATTGAGATGGATAGTTTGCATTCAGGAGTGATAAAATTTACTAGTTACTTTGTTCAATTCTTACAAAGTAACAAGTAAATATTATCGTACCTTATCACGTTTTTAAGATAGGAGAGATAAGAACTAGTCATATATTAATTGATCATTTAACTTATTCCATTAACGTTTTTGTGTAAGTACGTATATGCAGAGTAATATTCGTACACGTATAAAGAAAGTTGCGTAACAGTTGTCAAGATTTTAATGGAAATAAAGTTTTGAGGTCCCCTGATACCGAAAAGGTAGTCTTTTTAAAATCGTCTATCTGTGAACAGCACTAGCGTCTAAACCATTCCAACGATATTTCTCAAAATTAATATTTCACGTTCAATCTGGTCAGACTCAATGCCATGCGAATTTGAAGATATTTCACAAGAAATCCATTGGTCATTTTCATTTTTTTAAAAACTTGGCTCTAATTTTTTCTTTAAATATCATGTCAGAATAGTCATACGCTTAAAGATGGGACAGGGTCGATTATCACTTTACTTATGAAAATTGCAAATATTTCCAATTTTTTGGACCCCTTCGTACAACTACATTATTGAAGACAGACTTTTTTCTTTTAGTGAAAATTGTTCACCACAATTAGTTCTTTAAATAATATCAGGTAAAATTTCTGAAAATATTAATGGTATTCTTAATTTTTAGTGAACTATGAGCAATACTAAAAATAATACTTTCTCAAAAATGGCTCCTGAAATGTTTTCTATGAAGGGTTAAATGCTCTTAAACTGCGAAATAAACTATTTTGCTGTATTCCTTTTTTTCAAAAATTACAAAAATGTAATGCAAAAATTGCAAAAATGTAATTTTTATGAAATACTCTAGCATGTCGTTAATTCGGGCGCGTTTTTTACATCATTGCATTTGTGAGTACACGTGCTACAAACGATTTCTTATGAAGTTTCTCGAAAAATAGAAAGTTTTCGGTGAAAACGAGCACAAAATTACGAATTTTATTTTCAGTCATGAACATTTTTTTCATTTATTGACGTAAATATGGTGCACGCAATAGTTTGAAAAAGTTTAAGTTATTCTAAAGCAATTTATAAATTAAGTAATATACTCTGACAATAAATATTGATAACTTCGGATTTGATGGCCATGGCGGTGCTGGTTGAAGTGAGAAGTGAAGATGATAGTTGTAGCTAGTTCAGAAGTAGTGGGAAGCGATGTACTTTTTGGTCCTCTTCCTCAGATATGAAAACTCACGCATTCTCTACCTGTCAGTTAGAAAGTTTCTTCACAACATTCCTTTCCCAACAATTTTGACTATTTCCCCAGCCTTTTCGACTACTGAAGGACGTCAAAACATTTTTGAGAACGCCATTTTATCGTTTCGGTGCGAATGTTACACTATAAAAAATTAATATAATCGTTTATGTTTTATCGAGGGTGTTTAAGTGGAATAAAAAACTCGATGTTGGTAGTTGAAAATATTAAGAGACGTTTTTCCCCGTCCCATGGGCGTCTCTGGCAAGTATTTTTTGATGTGTTCGTGTGTGTAGTGGAATAGTCTCTCTTCAGGATTTTAGTTCACACGATTTGATTTATTGAAGATAAGAAGGTGGACGGGGTAGATAAAAAATATACAGTTCTTGCCAGTGTTATTATGGATTCGGTAATATTCACAAACTTGGAAGACGACATCAGCCACGGAAACGATGGTGGTCGCGGCGACTTCGGAATCTTCTTCAGAATAATCCTATCTCACGCATTTTCAACCAATGAAGAATGAGTAAACATTGTTGAGTACACCATGCTATTGTTTCATGGCTTCAATAGTATATAATGTTATGTAAAATCATTGTTATAATATCATAGTATTCTGAGTGTATCTTAAAAAAACTGGAATACAACTATCTGGACATTTATGGTTGTGCATTCCCCACACGTGACCCTGCTAGAATGTGACATCGCCAACAAAACATCCATGTTTCTAAAAATCGATGTTAAAACTTAAAACATCGATGCTAATAAACACTTGCCTCAAAACCATCAATGTTTAAGCACTGAAGTTTTTAAAACTGCATTTGTGACCACGTGGGGGGTATTTATTTTAAAGGTTTACCAACTTGTATTTGAGATTTAACAAAACAAAACGCTGTAAAACATGACCAGAATATTCAACAAAACTTTTATCATCTGATTGGATAATTCAAAAATAATGTACTTCATATATAAAAAAATGAAAAATCGATTGTGATTCTCACTCTTAATCAAATTGGTCTGAATGATGTTCAATTTATAATTATTAGAAAATCTTTATAGGTTTTTATTTTGATAGTACTTCTTTACCAAAATATAAAATATCAACCACAAATAAACTTTGATATTTTAAAAAATTGGCTTAAAAATCGAATAATCATCGACAATTTTACAACAACATCGATTTTTTCAGAAGAACGACATCGATGCCGCATAAAAACATCGGAGTTTAAAAAACATCAGCTTATAAATCGATGTTAAATTCATGGACGATTTTACAGAAAGATCCACGTTTTTAGAACACCGACATCGATGCCGCATAAAAACACCGATGTTTAAAAAACATGGGCTTAAAAATTGATGTTAAATTCATCGACAATTTTACAAAAACATCCATATTTTCAGAACATCGACATCGATGCCGCATAAAAATATCGGTGTTTAAAAAACATCGGCTTAAAAATCGATGTTAAATTCATCGACGATTTTACAAAAAACAACGATGTTTTCAGAACAT